TCCGTCTAAATTTTATCAAAATGAGAATTTTTTAAAGCTCTTCAAACACTCATTTGTGATATATTAATAAATCTAATATTTATAGTTCATCTATAGTAAATCTAATATTAAAGCTGGACATTCTAAAAATCTATTAGGATACACTTGTTGAGTAATAACTCCTGCAATACGAAAAAGAAAATTTTAAAATTATATAAAAAAAATTCAAATATTATACGAAAAATCAAAAATCACTTTGATTTGTCTTTGACAAAGACATATTAATCCCTACTGGTTCTAGAGAAACCCGCAAGTTATTATGAAAATTTTTTATTTTAAAAAGCATTGAGTGTTTTCATTTTAATTCATTTATGCGTTTATACTCAATTTTTTTTTTCATTTTATTAAATTTATGATCTTTGAGTTCTTAACCAATTAATTTTTATTGATTTATAAAAAAAAATCGAATTCATTCACTGATTTTTTCTTCAATTTTAAAATTTATACAAAAAATCCTTATTTGTTGTAAATAAAAAGTTGAAGTTAAGTAAACAAAAACAAAATACATTCAATTTCTTCAACATATTTATTATAATAAAACAATTTCATTCGAATTAAATAAAATATTTTTCATTTCCATTCCATCAATTTTAACCCAGATATCTTTCAAATCCTTCATTGAACAAAATTTTTAACCCTTAAAACAAAACGATTTTCCTTTTATCATTTATTTTACTTGTTTGTTTTTTCGTTATTTTTTTTTCTTTTTACGTTTTTCTCTTTACATAATATCCTTTGCTGCAAAATAAAGTAATTTCAACAAAATATTGTAAAGAAAAAAGTAGCAAAAAAACAAGAAAAACAAGAAAATATTTTAAATAAAATTTCCAATTGAAACAATCAATAGTTTTTCTTATTCATCGCTCTTTCAATATAACTTTAGTTATATTTACATACTATACATATATATGTATATAGATGTAAAAAAAAATCTGGGAAATTCTCATGCCAATTACATTGAATGCACATTTTTTCTAACAATTCGTATGTTTCAAAGAATTTTTTCAAGGAAAACAATAATAAGAATAACATGAAAAACTATTTACTAAAAATTCAAATAATCTTTTATAGAAATAATTCAATTGTACTGAGATTTTCTTCTTTAGTTTCTCATCATATAAAAAGGAAAACAGAAAAAAAAAAATGAATTAGAAGAATATTGAAGTGAAAAAATGAAATTTGAAAAAAAAAATCTTAAAGAACAAAGGACAAAAAAATTTCTAATATAAAAATGCAATAAGAAAATCTTTAAAACTAGAAAAAAAAATCTCATTTTTCTAGTACAATTTAAAAGCCTTTGTAATTTAAAATTCAGTTTTGTGATGCCTTATAATTTTTATGTGTTAAAAAATCTGTCATCTTCCAATAGGTTTAATAATTTAGGAAGTCACCGTAGCGCTATTAAATAATACATTAACCCCGACCAGGAACAGCCATGAATAATACTTTCACACAATAATGAAATTTTATATCTCGGCATCAAAAATAATCATGGATTTCTTTACAAAATTTTATTTTTTATTAACAAAGTTGAAAATTAATGAAATCCTTAAAACTGGAATTTTAATATAAAATCAAATTTTCAAGATAATGCAATAAGCGACATACTTTATCAGAATATCAGAGCGACATACTATATCGAAATATTCTTCTTGCCAAATAAAAACTTTAAATTTCGAAGAAAATTAAAACTGTTAAATAATATTGTCAAAAAGTTTTCATTATTTATGGGCACATTTTTAATCAGGACAATAAACACTGATAATTTTTTGCCAGTTTGATTAAAATTTGAAACAATTTTATGTGGAAGCCTGGTGAAAGTTGTTTCAAAGAAAAATAATTCGCCATTCAGTCCACATTAAGAAAAAATTTATAAGCAATTTTTGATGCCTTACAATATTAAATCAATTTTCATAAAAAAATTTATGAAAAACTTCATTTTTCTAAGGTTCCAACACAACTATTGAGTTTCAATTTTTAATATAGAAATGCTTACCTTTGAGCTAAAACTGATAAAACACAATAAAGATAAAACAATAATTTAATGAGGCGAGAAAAATTACAATTTACTTAATACCCACAAGGAACTGGTCTAAAAGGCTGCCTAGAATAGAAATCAAATCATAAACCTAAAAAAAATTTGTTCAAATTTTTAATTACATTTATTGGAAGCGATTTTTATGAGATAAAACAAGTATGTCAAGGTCAGATATTGAAGAAATTTCCAAATCAATAAATTATCTTATTATTTTTATAGTACAAAATTTTTTTATTTCAAAAAAAAATTATCTATGTATACCTACTTCTTATGTATTTTTGTATAAGTCGTTATTCCTCTCATAATAAGAAAATATTAAAAAAAAAAAAAAAAAAAGGAAAAAAATTGCAAAAAATTTTTTTGTATTGTTCCTTTTTCCTTTTTAATATTCTTTTTCTTTCCTCCATAACAAAATTTTGCAAATTGTGCAAATTTTTTACATTTTTTTTTTTCCTTCTTTGCCAATTTTTATAAGAGTGTAACTAGGCATGAAATCATTTACAAAACAGCAAAATAAAATTATAACAACTAAGTATAAACAAAAAATCATGGTAGTTTCAAAATATTGTCAAAGTGTATTTTGTACTAAAGAATTTTCTATTCAAAAATCTAAAGCAAAAGAAGAAGAGAAAAATGAAAACATCTATAATTTTTATTGGTTTCTTAATTCTTACCTTGACTTTTCAAATGACTTTTCCGGAGTAAAGAACAAGAAAACCTATAATAAAAGTTTTGAAACAAAAAGCAAATTTACTGCTATCCAAGAGATACGTAAATGTTAAAATACTTCGATATCAATATGCGAAGAGTGCAGAGTCTAATGAAACAAATAACTTCCAATTTTAAATTTAATTGTTATTAAGAAATTACTAAACACTTAAAAATTACGACTTTCATAAATTTAAAATAGAATTATTTTCTAAATCTTTTGTTTGCCAGACTTCTAGTCTACATCTTCATACAAACAAAGTATCATATTCGTCCGTTGTGAATGATATAAATATGTCTGCAAAATGTTAGTAAAACAATGTTAACGTAAAATATGTATTATGTTCTAGTGGAAGATATTCAAACGCTTATTACATCACATAATATAGTTATAGCTCTATTACTGTAGCATGTGTCGAAAATGCGAGAAAATGAGAGAAAAACTAATTAAAATATCAAAATTCGACTTAAATATTGCTGGAATGAATCAGTTTCTGAATCATAACAAAAATTTACAGATTAGAATACTAGATAACAACATTTGGCATTGAATTCAATTTGAACAAATTAATTTATAACCTATTTAATTGTACAACAACGTTACATAAGTAACTTTTATATAAGAATTATATGTACAAAAATAATATACATATAAAAATTGCATTATAACACACCTAATACTTTTGATACTGACATACTTTTTTTTTTGAAAAATCTATAAAAATAACGCGGTGAATCGCTTTTATAACACTTCCAAAAAAAAAAATACCGGAAATAGCAATAAAATTTCACTTTATATTTTGTCTTGTTTTTTCTATTTTTCATTCTTTTGTATTCTTTTTCTACCTTTAAATTGAAAATTAAAGTAAAATAAAATAAAAAACTTTTACTTGAATTCCAACTTTTGCTTTCTTTTTACATTTAAAATTATTGCAATACGGGTTCGTGTGTATATAACGAAGCAAAACTCAGAATAAGTAGAAATTTTTTAAATTCTTTTATTATTCTTTAAAATTGTTTTATTATTCGTTGAATATAAAAAATGTTTGCAATTTATGTACACAATATTCAATATTAATTAACTTGTTCGCAAATTTTATGAAATACTTTTCAATTTTTAATAATTTTAATGCTAGTTTGTAGACACTGAATATCACTAAACCTCCTCTATGTGGCTTTATTTTTATATGAATAAATAAATAAATAGACTATAAATTTCAAATCTTAAATAGTTTAACATGCTCTTGCTTTTTTGCGCATTTGTTGCTAGTAAAACCGTTTGCTCGTTAATTTCGCCTCGTCAATTTTTATAGATTGTATTTCCATAATAGTTTTTACTCTATACTTTTAAAACGATTATATTTTGTACTAGATTCCCATTTTAAAGCCAATCACGTCGTAAAATTAACTTGAATGCAATTATCGCTGAATGTTTTTGAAAGCCAATACCTTAGAAGGAAAATTAAATATTCAATGATTCGAAACACGTTAAATTTTATGCGTATTAATTATAAATAATTAAAAGACAAAATACAATAAATTAATAACTAGGTATTTAATTAAGTACGATATTTTAAATACGATATTAAAATATTTTGAAATAAGCCTGGAAGTGGAAACAATTCTATATTGCGCCTTGTAAATCGAGTATAAGTAAATATTTCATTAAAAACGAAACATCATGAATTCTTGGAACATAAATATTAAAAAAAAATTTCTACTCTAAAATATACCACATTGTCGAACCACGACAGAACCTTTATCAAACTGAACCATTTTTAAACATACATATGTATAAGAAATTCCAGTTCTAACTTTAAAGCAGAAATTCGTTAACTGATAATTGAAATCACTCATTGTAGGAAATTATTTTAAATTCAATAATGGATACAATTTGAAACGTGATCAAACTAAAAAGCGTACATATGTATTCATATACAAAAATTAATTTTTATTATTCACATATGAGTAAATATTTCTAAAAACGCTGTGTGAATACAAAATTCTTGAACTTGTTTTCTTAAGCAACTTACATATTAATTTAACTGCTTACAAATTTTTAACTTCATAAATTTGCTGTTAATACATATACCTTACCTTGAATACATTTCATTGTGATGTAATATTGATAATTCTAAAGGGTTATAAATTCAGTTCTGACTGCAATAAATAAATGCGTAATATTATCACAAAAATTATATGCATAAATGAATTGCTTCGTTTATTTATCTTTTTTGTGAAAATAGTTATCACTGTCTTAAATCTTAATTCCAATTGTTTGGAATTAAACTACATAATATATAAATAATCAAAATTTAGAACAAATCATTTAAACTAGTAAAATATAAAGTCCTGAAATAAATCTTTTTTTAACCAATTACAAATAGAACACTATATTTATGTTTGTGTAAACTTTATTTAACAACCAAAGAGTCTTTCAAATGACGCATTATGTGGGTACCTATGTCTCTCAATTCAGGCCATTGTCTTATCACAAACATTACAAAGAATATTGAAATGAAGGTGGTTAAAACACGTAATCTCGTTTTCAAAAATGGCATGATAATTCCTGCTGCGGTTGCCACTAATAGTAGAACTACTTGTAATATTGTTAAAACTACATTTATTAATTTAACAACTAAAGCTCGGGCATTAGAACTATAGATGCCTTCAACTGTGACATACTGCTGTTGTGATGTATGTTCTAATTTAGAAATTCTTGTTTGACAATTTTCTAATACTTCATTAATGTCACGCATTCTTTCATCGCTTTGATATTGTACCTTTTCTTCCGTATCAACTACAGCTTGCTTCAGATTTTCTATCTCAGTTTGATGTAATTCAGTTAGATCATTAATTTGTTCTTCTAATCTTTCAGCACGGTACCGTTCACTTTCCAAATTAGTCGTTAACTCTTGATATTCTTTCTGCGACGTTTCTATCCGATCAACTTTCTCTTTTAATTTTTCCAGTTCATCCTTTTGTTCTTGAATTTGTGTCAATAAAGTTTTTAAAATTGTGTGATATTGCATCAAAGCTGCTGCGCTTTTACCAGATCCTGCAGGTACACTCTCACTAGTTACACTACTGCATTCACTATTATCACTGTGAAATTTACCAACACTACCACCAGTTGGACCTGACCCGGTGGATGTTTCGTGGCCTGACAAATGTTGCGTTGGAGCTGTTATATTATTGGATGCTAAGCTACCAACAACATCAGGCGAATCAACTCTTAAATTATTTATCTCCTGTTCTGATAAGTGATTTATGTTATCTGCGCTACCAAATTTATTTTTAATCAAGTGTGCGAATTCTCTAGGTTTGGACATCACAGATCCTGAAAATCCAGTTATACCATCTCTTATATTGCCACCGACATTTTTTAATCCCTGCCCTACATCTCTAAGAACTTCTCTAGGTTGTCGATGTTGACTTTTATTATGTTGATGGTTTTTATATTCATTAACCCTTTTTGTGTAATTTTCAAGTTTCTTCTGTAGTTGGGAAATTGTGTTCGCACTTTTTTGATTTTTTTTCTCAAAAACAGCTTTAATTCTATGTAATTGCTGTTTGTCAGCGCTGGCAGCCAATTTCAAGTATTCATTAACATTATCATCCCGTGCGGTTTGTTCTCTACGTATCGATTCCTTAGTGCATTGAATTTTTGTATTTAATCTATCTAAAGCTTGTTCAGAGTTAGTTCGATCACGTCGACTTTTATGAATTTTTTTATCATAAGCTAAAGAAGGTTGACCCGCATGGGCTCCGTCAAAATCATCTGTAGATGCAAAGGACATGTATAAATTATCTTCGTCACCTGAAATATTAAAATGTCATCATTTAGCATTTTTGCTATGTAACTGCATTAAATTTACCATAGGTCAGTCCACCCGTTGTCATAATTTGTTCTGAATTATAGCTCCTCATGAAATCTTCCCTACTTGTTTCGCGATTCCTTTGATCAGTTGGACTCTGTTGCCGATATCTAAAATTTGATGATCCAGTTCCAAAATCCACATTGTCTCGTTCTTTTGACATTTGGTTTTACATATACTTGTATGTGCAATTTTCAATGATTAAGTTATGATTTTGTTTTCTTATGAAAACAAAAAAATAATTTAAAATGATGTGAATAAATGCTGCCTTTTGCTTTATTATCCTTTAAATATTTAATATAATCTAATTATCTTGAATTAGTTTAATGTAAAAAGTTGTTTTATGTTAATTTATCATTTTTAATTTGTTTAGTTATGTTAATGTCGATTGCAATATAAAATAAGATCATTCATTCACTTTTTGTTATTCGCCACTGTTTGAAAACATAAAGTAAAATACATACATAAATTATTATGGAATATTTTCATCATTATGATATGGCATTCAGAAAACTGCAAAATAGAGAATATTACAATAAGTGGATACCTACCTAATAATTATTAAATTTCTTTAATAATAGTGATCAATAACGTAATCTTACGAGAAGTCTTTTTGATTTAATTTGTTAGCAACAAATTATACCAAAAATCACCCTCACGATGTGGTTCAATTGCTAAGTACCTACATAAATAATTTATGTTATAACATAGACGAGAAATTTTGTAATTGAACCATTTAACTTAAAATGAATTTCAAACATTAATATTTTTAATTTAATTTTTGTCTGATTTATTACTACTCTACCTATTTAGAAATTATTTTTTGTGAATTATTTTAAAACCATTGAAAACAAAATAAAACCATAATACAACCTTTTTCAAATAAGTAGGTATATTTAAGATTTATCAACATTAGTATACCTACTTAGTTTGGCAAATAGATAGGTACCACAAACCCCTAATATAAAAAATTCATGACCAAAACAAAATAAAATTACGTCTGAAATAACATTTCATACTTAATATTCATCTTCGACAGCCAAATAAATAAAAACGTCCTGTTAACAATAATAATAAATCTATACTTTTGTTCGAATTCTTGCGTTGTTTATACAATTTTTATTTCCATATTAAAAAATCTAAATTTAATACAATTATAAATATTAAAAATTTATAACCAGACAAATTGCAAATATAGTCTGGAAGGTACTACATACTTAACCACTAAAGAAAAAAGAAAGTAGGTATACTTATATAAATAGGTAGGTATAATAGTTATTTCAAATAGGCAAATGCTTCTACGTATACTTATTGCATTAGTCAGTAATTACTACCTACTGTTCCACAAATTTAAAATTAGAAATTATTACAAAAAACATACCTAATAAAGCCCTTTTTATCATGACGAACAGAAAATGAGAAAAAGTTATTTTATAACAGCAGAGAATAGTCCAAATGGGCATACTTATCTACACATATATAATCATTTTTTTTTTTCCTTTTATTTTCATTTCTTTATGTACAGTTAGTTAGGTTGTTAAAAAAGTAACTACTTACCTACTTACATATACAAAATACTTGAAATAATTTACTTAATATAACTAACGATAAGTATGTACTATGCGATACGACCTGTAATAGACTTTGACCACATAATTGAAGAAGTTCAACATATTAGTCATTTTAAAATCAAAATCGAAGTTCATTCAGTTGCCATATCATATTAATGAATTATAATATTTTAGATTAAATTTCAATTATTGATTTAATTAATTTTAAACAATTACTTTATGTTTTTAGATTAAAAAGATATTTTTTTAGATGAAATAATAAATGAAGAAAATTTTTTTACAAAGTAGGACAAATAAGTACCTAATTTCGTTTATATTATTATCAAATCCATTTGCACCATTTTAAGATTTAATTAATTTTTTGATAAAATTTTGAAATTTTTTAACACTATTCACACAAAATATACATATTTTAATAACAATGTAGAAAATTATAAATTAGTCAAACTTAATTCTCTTGAAAATTAAACATAAAAAGTACTGTGTTTTATTGTTAGGCATAACCAAACTTTAATCTTTAAATTATTGAATCATGTACTATTCTTTTCCAATTATAATTTCTTTGTAATGAATAAAGTTTGCTTTATTATTTATTTTGTTTTCTTTCTTTAAAAAATGTATTTAAAAAGTTTCTTTATCACATTACACTTATCTTTACATGAATCCAAAGAACAAAATGAAATCTAGAAAGAGAAAAAAATCTTTACAAAGTTTATCACACCTTTTTGAATATTACAAAAGAATTATTCAGTTTTAATAAATTACTTTGTGACTTTCAAATTAATATTAAGTTAATTTTAAATTCAGTATTTTATTCCAACTCTAAAAATATTTCATTTATCAAAATAAATCAAAAAAAATACCTTTTTAATAATATTCTACACAAATAACTTGTTAAAATTGACATTCAATATTTTCACAGCTGCTTTCAAACTTTAATGTCAGATTACTTTCCACTGCGAATGCGTTGGAAAAAAAGTGTCATAACAACAATTACTGTCAAATGCCACTAAGATTATTTTTACCACACGTCTTGTATTTTATGTGAATTGATACTATGCTTATAGAGAAAGTATTCCATTTTTTACTTGTTGAATAAATTATTGATGTGAAAATAATTTAAGAAAATATAATATGTACATTCAAATGAAATAATTTTCAAATGACTTTTATAATGCTATATATATCTATCAGGTCTCCAAGCTGAAAGTATTTTCCGAAATTTTGAATCGGAACAAAATACAAAAATAATTCTTAATGTTTTAGGTTTTCGAAGTATGCCGATTGAAATACTTTTTTATTTTTTTTATTGTCAAATTTTTGAGTATTCTTTATAATTATATTATGATGTTTAAGGTTTTAAATAACTGTATAAAGATACCCTCAAAACAGAAAAACACAAATCTATTCTGTTCTCAAAATCGTGAGAATCAATTCGACTTTTAATTCATTTTAAACATTATACTTGAAATAGTAATTTTTGCGTTATCAACCGGTTTCATATCAATAAGGTAGTAAATAAACTACATATTTGTATTTGGTTTTCATAAGAAATCGGAGAATATCAAACATTTTTGTCAATATATTTTTAACGATACGAATATTATTTGAACTTCAAATCTTCTCAAATGTTTTTAAAATTTTTTCAAGTAACACTGTAATTTTGACTTTTAAGAATAGCAATGCATAGAATTTACATTTTCAAAAAAAATTACAAATATGTTGAAAAAAAGGTGTTAAGTTTAAATTAAAAATATGTATACCGTTTGCTTGAACTTTCTATTTCGAAACTCGATTTCCTTGCAATTAGTCAGTGTACATTTAGATACTAATTTTTACATTTAGAAAAAATTACTAGTTTTTACGAAACCGCATTACTAATTTTTACGCAACCGCGTACCGCGTTCATTTAATTTTTACCAGAAACCGCATAATGAAAAAGATTTGAAGTTCGGTTTTGGTTTAATACTGAAATATCAAAAGAAAACTATTTTAAGCACTAAAGAATTTAAGAGAAATTAATTTACATGTTGTGATCGTGTATCTCGCTATTTTACTCACCAACTTGTCAAGTGAGAAGAATGTGAGTAACTCTCGCTTATTATTATTATATAATTTTCGAGTGAGAAAAATTATTCCGATTGCGTATCTCCTTTTTTTTTAAGTATATAATGTTTTCGTTTTGTTTTTGAAGGTGAAATTTTCTGTCGAATTTCAGAAAAATGAAATTGTTCTTAGAAAAACGGAGAATTCTGGTTTAAAAGTGAATAAAAAGTTAAATAAAAGAGCGACAAATATTACGTACATTAGCCTCCAACTCAGTCACTAAAATTTTGTTGTAATTGTTCGATTATTCATCTTCCATAATCTGTAGGAAATTTATTTTAGATATTTCTTTGAAATTCGAGTTCTGTCTGACCCTGACGATATACATACATGCATAACTACATATTATATACATACATATGAACAAGTTTTCTGAAAGTAAACCTTTCTTTATTTTTTTTTTTTCATAATTTTATTATTTATTTCACCCGCTAAATGGAAGCGATATAAATTATTCATAAAGATGGTTAGTCCTATTTTTTATATTGCATGTCCTTTTACAATTTATGTTGCGTGATTCTTTTGTATATTTGAGACACGCATTAATTATATTATACGTACGTACGTACATATGCAACCATGCACACATCTTTGTAGAAATAATATACATACGTATATACACATGTAAACCTACCTACACATATTTTGGTCATATTACAATTTTCAGGTATGAAGTATACCTTGTTTTCTTAAGTTTTCTGACGTGAATCTGTTATGCCGATAATTACGAAACAAGTAATTTGTATTGTATATATACATATATACCTATGTACATGTGGCACATAACAAAAAGAAATAGGTATATTTTTTTAATCGGAAATAATTATTTAAGAAATTGATATATTAAGACTGACACTTTTGCATATAATATAACACTGTTATTCTCCCCTATTTATAATGAGAACTTGCGATATTTATTGCAACCTTATTCATTGTACTTAATTGAAACTCTCATCATATACATATTATTACATAACTCAATATTAGGGGAAGTCTTTGTTCTTATATTATTTTGTTTATACATAAGAAGTTTCAGCCACGGCACTCAATACAGTAGGTTTTTTTGTTTCTGAAGTTCATTAGTCTTAAACTGAAAAGTTAGAAATTTCGATTATAAAATATTATTGAAATTACATGGAAAGCCATGATAAAATATTATAAATATTTTTTATAAATCAAATTTATATTAGATTTATGACGGTACGAAGAAACTATTTCTTACTTACTTCTTGTATAGAACTTTCAATCTTAATAAGAAAAATAACAAAACCAAATTCTGATATTATACCAAAGATAACACTACTTTCTTGTCTCCTTCTATTACTACATACATACATATACAATAATTTTTAATTCCGGAAGTTATTTTCCAATATAAGATACTTTAATTTTTGGACTGGTGCTATTGAAAACCAAAAAAAAATAAAAAAAAATATTAAAAATTTAACTAAAAAATAAGTATCTTTACTGTTATTTTTAACCATTTATTCTAACATTTTTCCGTTATTCTGATAGGGTTGCCACTCATGAAAAAAATTAATAGGCTAAATTTTCAAAAAAAAAAAAAATGGTCCAAATAAAACACTTATTTGCAGTCTAACTTCAAATTTAATTCAAATTTTAGTGTTTTTGATTTCAAATTTAACATTAAATTACGTTGTTGGTTTGTTAAAGTTTAAAAAATTTTCAGGATATGTGTGAAATTTGAAGTGAAATCCGTAGAAAAAAAATTTTGCACCAGTAACGACAGAAACGACAATATGGAAATAGCCTACATATACCCACGCATCATACACAATCATACAACTTAGTTCTAAGGTATTGTAACATTTTTGCAACCCAATTTTCTATAAAAAAAAACTTTTTTTTATGTAAAATTAAGAGAAAAATTATGAATCACAAAATTTAAGATTTAGAAAATGGGCCAAATACGACAAAAAGAAAAGATTTTAAACAAGAAAAATGAGCCATATTTCGCCCACCACTTGAACGACAAAGTGGCAACACTGACTCTGATATGTTGGAAATGATGGGAATTTCTGTTTTTTCGTTTTAAATTTTCATTTATTTTTTCTTTATTTTTTTTTGCTTTTTTTCAATCCAGTATTGTATATAATCATTCGATTTCATGTAATTTGAAAAATTGACTTTCAATTGTATTTTCTTCATGCCATTCTATTGTACAATAATAAAAAATAATAACAATAAAAAAAAAAGAGAAATCTTAACAGAAAAATAACAAAGTCAGTAAGAAAAATACGTACAAACTAACAAAATAACTGTAAAAAAAAAAACAAAGTATAAAAAATTAGAAAATAGCGTAACATCACTTTTCCGTTATTTTGTCGCTTCATATTTTTTTCTCTTTCTATTTTTCGGTTTTCCTTTCATTACTTTTACTTGAAATACGTACGCTATGATAAAATTTGTTATAAGTAAAGTTATACTTAGTTGTTGTATTGATACGCATTCAAGCATACATACCTTAATTCTCGTATATGTGTGTGAATATCCTAGAATAGTAGGTTTATATATAGATAATCTTCCTACTATATATATAATTATACGCTTTCATACATGATTTTATATAAGGATAAGATATCCTGTGATGATGGAAAAATTGTAATCGATATTCTTCATTTTTTATTTTTTTATTGTATAGTTATTGTTTTTTTTTATAATTTTTCTACTTTATTAATATGGTTTTGTATTGTTTGCAATTTTGTTTTGTCTTTGATTGATAGGATAGGAAAAACCAGTCACACTTTAAATACTTGTAAATTGCTTTCAAAGTGTTTTTTTTTTTAATTTCTTTTTATGTGTAATATTAGACTTCACCCAGAATACACTTGCTTCCAATTATTTCTATACAAAAATTCGATCTATATACGAGTACAGTTAACCAAATATATAAAATAATAAAATAAAAAATAATATCAATTTATTAGGGTGGTCAACTAAAATTGTAATTCGATGATAATCATGTTATGATGCTTAGTAATAATAACAATGATATTGATAAAATGTTGCTGAATAAAATAAACAAGAAGAAGAGGCTTGAAATTTCCACAAAATTAGAAAAAAAAAGGAAAATATGAAAATTAAAT